CTAATCGACCATAGATAACACATATTCTAAGTGAAACCTGGTCTCTCGACCATAGATAAACATATTCTAAGTGAAACCTGGTCTGTCGACCATAGATAACACATATTCTCAAATTGTTTCATATTTATTGCTCTCTCATAAAGAACACTATCTCTTGTCTTTTACATTGCCAAGCTGGCGGTTTTATATGTAACGCCTTGGATCTCATCAGTCCCCAAAATGATACCTCTTTAATGTCGTCTCAGAAAATTCCACATCTAATGTTGAGGGACGAATCTAGTTTAATGTTTTGTTCTATTGTGTTCTATTGTGGCTATTGGGCCATCTCTAGATCTATTTTGACGTTAATCTGTTTATTCATCTGTTACTTAATTGTCAACAGAATCTCTTCATCTCTCCAAAATGAACCTGTATAATATTTCTCTACACGTCAACACAATTTTTTTACTGCTGTTAAAATCGGTTTATTCATTTTTCCTATACTATTTTAATTGCTTTAGGAATCACCAGTATCACTTCACCAAAAATAATGAGGGCCCAGTCATTTTATCTGTCTGCTTCTTTCTCTGAACTTTTGCATGGTTCGGGGGAAAAAAACATATCTAACAGATGTTAACTACTGGAGGTCCTTACTGAAGTTTTTCTTGGGAGCAAGCGAACAGTGAGGAAACACGATAGAATGATTGCGAGGTGGAGAGACTGATAACGCCGGGAGTGACCAGGAGCTCTAGTCAAAACTGGATACTCGGGTAGGGGGGTGGGGGGGGGGGAACAACAATAAAAACGACATATAATCAAACTGTTTCTAGTAGCATCTGAATTTAAATTTTGCGCTGACCGCTGAAAATAGGGATGGAACGCTTATAAGAATGTCCTGAGTGCTCTAATGTATGTTGTTAGTAGAATTCAGTTATCCATATTTGACTTCTGTTATTGCATATCGGTTTAGATGAGTACCAAATATCTGTTTAACGAGTTAATTTTATTAATTAGCTAGCACGGTTGAGTACAGGTTTTATCTCTCACTATGGGCATCCATTTGTTTCATATACTTCAGTGATGCGATTTACTCATAAAGTCAGAGGGCCCGGGTAGGCGGGGTGGGGTGGGGGGGGGGGGTGAAGGAGGCACGTGGAGAAAAGCGTGTCCATATATCGTATTCTATTAACATCATCCTCATCATATGCCATGCCAACTGACGTAGGCGCTCATGCGTCTCTACAGATCACGATCCCTGGTTGCCTGGAAGCGCTCTCTCGATGATATTCCTCCATGCCATCATTCCAGCCCTTCCAGCATCATCTCTCTTGATCTGCCTCAACCCCTTTTCCCACTAATCTTTCCAGTGGTCACGATGTTCTCCAATGTCTCTTTATCATTATGTGGTCAAAGAACAGTGTTTGACTCTTTCTTATTGTTGTATTTAAAGATCTATTTTCATTAGGTTCTTTCAAGTAATCGTTGTTAGTTACTCTGGTTGTCCAAGGTCTTCTTAACATTCGTTTTAGAAACCACATCTCTGTTGCTTCCAGACTCTTCCTCGTTTATTCACTGACATTCCAAGATTCGCTGCCATACAACAGAACAGGTTCTATGTAACATTTTAGCACCCTCTTTCTTTTTCTGCGTTCATCCGAAGATGTAATTGCGTTTTTGCTGTTCACAACAAACCATAAAAGAAAATATTTGAAACCTTCTCGGCCAGGAGCACCATCCGACTTCTGCGGGCATTTGTTGAAGGTTAGCCTTCCCGGTGGCACCCTCTTTCTAAAACTGCAGCTTTCACTTGACCTATTCTGCTTTTAATCTATGTCACACACACATCTAATGATTTGATTGTTCCCAGATATTTGAATTTATTGACTTGGTTAGGTCTTTTTCCTTCAACTGAAATATCACAAAGTGGAGTTTTCTTTTTCTTTACTGTAACCATTACTTTCGTTTTCTTAATATTCAGTGAAAGTCCTTTCTTAGCACTCTCTATCGCCAGAATATCAAGTAGTTGTAAATCAGTTGCATTTTCAGCTATCAAAACTGTAAATTGTTTATATTGTATTCTCCAAATCTTACTTCTGCATTCTCTTTAATTTCCCTCAAAATTATTTCACTATATAGGAAGAAAAGGTCTCTGGATAAGACACATCCCTGTCTTACTCCTTGCTTTACCTGTTTAAAAGTACCCAATCTGTTTCCCACTTTAATTGCTGCTACTTGGTTCCAGTAAATGTTTTTAATTATTCTGAGATCTTTCCCGTCTTCGTTGATGTCTTCCAACATTTGTATCATCTCTTCGTGTTTAACTTTGTCAAGTGCTTTGGTAAAATCTGTAAAGCAAGCACACACAAAAAAATAGTGTCGAATGTCCCTTGATCTTTCTATCAGTGTTCGTAATATGTATATTGCATTGCTTGTCCCTTTACCTTACATAAATCCATACTGCTCTTCACTCATTTGCATTCTTATTTTTCTTTTTGTTCTTCTCATTATAATTCTAAGTAGTAATTTAGTGACATGATTTATTAAGTTGATTGTACGAAATACTTCAAACTTAATTGCTCCTGGTCTTTTAGGTAACGCAATAAATACAGATTTCATCATTTCACTTGGAATATACCTAGTTTTATAAATGTCATTCATTAGTTTAGTTAATATTTCTACCCTAAATTCCCCCAGTATTTCTAATTCATCTACTGAAATTTCATCTGACCAAGTTGATTTACCTTTCTTCATATGTTTATTAGCATCGCTAACTTCGTCTTTCTTACTTCTGTGAACAGGTATAAGAAAAAAACCTCAGGTTGAAACGAACGTTTGAAGGGAAAGACGATGAAGAGTCAGTTGTGTTTTGACCGTGAGAGAGGTAGGCTGCTCGATTGTGTGACTGAGGTGAACCTCATTTATGAACTGAAAGAACGCCGCTTTTGTAAGCACGGAATGTCTGATTATGAATTGCCACGTCTAGTGTCTGTGAACATTTGTGTTTCTGTGATTCAGATGCCAACACCCGAGTGAACGGAACATTCTGACCGGCAGGTAACTGTACATATTGTCTAGTTGTCATATCATCCTGTCGTGGCAGTCAGTCGTGAGCAAGTGTCAACAACCATGGGGAACTTTGGACATCAACTGAATGACTTATTTGTTGTATCACAATAAACTTTTTCAACGTCCTAGTCGGGTTTTGACTATATTATCATGTGTCCAGACTTTACAGCACAGCTGAGGCACGTATAAAGTGCACATAGTAGAACGAGCCATACAGCAACACTATTGCATATACCATTTTGCTTACCTTGTGTGGTTAAATATTCTTTATCGTTGCTATAAGGCTCCTCTCTTGAGATTACTTCTGACATTATAATGGCAAGGCTATAAATATCTCCTTCGGGACTTCCTTTCCCATCAGATTTGAGTATCTCCGGAGCCTTCCACAGTCCATCTAAGTAGAAAATACAACATTTGAACAAATATGGAATACGCTGAGTTATTATTTATTTCATGTGTCATTCTAGAGACGTGCATGCATTGCATAGAAATTACAGCAATGCTTATTACTCTGAAACATAATTTATCATGACGCTTGGTCGTTCATATCTCTCCAGATCTCCATCCATAGTTTTCTGGACCAGTTTTGTCGATAACATTCCTCCGGTCATCCTCTCTGATCAGCCTGCAACACATACCTCCCAATGTCTTTGCCTCTTTTTAACCGCTGTTTTCTTTTTTGGTTATTTTTTTTTAAGATGTCCCCCTTTTCAATACATCACCAGTTTATATATATATATATATATATATATATATATATATATATATATATATATATATATATATATATATATATATATTTATAATTTTCTTCAACACGCTTGATACGGATTTGAATTCATAAGGCTGAAAGATGAATACCTGATGAGGATTTGGTCAATATACAATTGTCAGCCTCTACTTTCCGTGAAATTTCTAATCTTCCTGGCATCCTCAAACTTTCAACAGATATCTCGAAAACTCCAGTATGAATCAACACAAATTTGGGCATCTGGTCTTGGATTTCCCATGTCTTTATGATTTTATAATTCAAAGTTGCACGTTTTGTACCATTTTCTTAAGACGGGAAATGTTTTTTTTTTTTCAAATCTCCTATTTGTGAACCCCCAAATATAGAATATAACAGTAATCGATATAAATATCCCTGTGTGGGTACGGGGTCCTATTTTCGAAAAAATAAGAACAGACCCACTGCCTATCCTAAGCATGTCGTAAGAGTCGACTAAATTGACGCTTCCTTAAAAGTTACAGTGCATTGGACTGAGATGTTGGGAGTCAACATTTGTGCATACAAATGAGTCAGACCTGTAAAATGGATGCACTCAGGTTCTAGAACAGGATTAGAGTCCAGAAGTGAACGAGCAACAAGAACTTTCTGCCGGAGTTTACATCCGGTGAACAAGAAGAAGAACACACAAATCGTTTACTTTAAACCACAAGCGTGGCTTTTGTTTTCGAACCCATCTCACACGTGCAGCGAGGCGTGACGATTATTTTGATAGACTATCTCGTACACAATGAAATAGTTTGTTTATGGAACTCACGAGAGGCTATTGTTAGAGACTTATCCCATGCGAGTTGAACGCCTATGAACATAGTTACAATTATGTAAATGAGATTATGACAGCACATTATGTATCCAGTACAGTATTCTAAATAAGTGAGTCTTGCATAGATTACCCCCAAAATATGTGCAGTTTATTCTTTGGCATAATTCACATAACTCCATTAACATCAACCAATAAATCATGCATACTGTGTGCTTTTTTTTTTAACATTATAATTATTTTTGTACAACATTAACAGGTAGCATGCCAAATTTCAACAATTTATACAGAGCGGTTACTGAGTTATAGATTTTTAAAGTTCAGCATGACTTTTGGAACGGACTAAAGCAACATTTGCCTGAAAATGACTAATAACCGTAGAACGAGACGAGCGACAATTTGAAATGGATAAGCTTTAATAACTCAGTGAGAAAAAAGTTATCAGAAAATTACACAACTAGGCAAATCAGCACAGAAGAGGCAAAAGCAGAGAGAAAAATTATCTTATAGGAATACAAATAATATAATAAAAAGAGGGAAACTGGAAAACATTGTGACCACTGAAAAGATCTGTGGATAAAAAGAGATAGAGAAAAAGTGAGAGGGTTCTAGACAGCCTTTTGTCGTGACGTGGAGTGGTATCAACAACTAATACATGTTGTTAAAGATCGCAGATTGTGTGGACAGACATGATTACTCAGGCCAGTCGGCAAGACACTTGATGATGATGACGATGTTGATAACAACGATGATGATTACGGTGATGATAATGATAATGATGATAGGTATCCAAATAACACAACCATCGTCTTACCTTTCTCCTTGCTCTGCTCCTTACTTTGTAACTGAATGGTGTCATATATCGTGGGAAGACCGTAGTAACCAACTTTGACGGAGAATCTGGAGTCAATCATACAAATCTCACTAGTTAGACGCCCATGGTAGCGCATGGAGCGCTTGTGGATATAGATCAGTGCCTGCAGGGACAATTGTTGTAGAGTAATTTTTGTCAGCAAATTTTAAAAAATGCAAATTAAGCTAACAGAAAATTAAAACAATATTATAGCTTAATGGTGTGTTTCAATACTCAAACACTATCTTAACCGAATGCAAAATGTATGAATGTAACAAATCATTCTTGTGTGTGCGTGTGTGTGTGCGCGCGTGTGTGTGTGTGCGCGCGCGCGTTTGTTAGAAGGGTCCGGGACTAAACTCTGCAAGCAGGAATTACTTATAATAAGTTTACTTGGCTAAGAAACCTCCTCTATCAAATATAGTCTCTCCATAAAACAGCCCCTTCAAGAGAAAAAAAAATAGAGACAGAGAGAAGGGGGGGGGGGGGGGAGATTGACAGACCTGCATAGAAGTTAAAAGCAGGAAGTATTCTCCTAACTGACATGACTGGCGTTACTAAATGTTGTCACTAAGTCTCCAATAGCCTACCTGTATGTTGCTGTTTGGACTGGTATGAAAACAAACTTAAAAGTCTCCTATCTACTACGAAAAAAAATACGGTCTGAAACTTAGCAAAGCAAACCCAGTAGCAGCAGTAACTTCTTTCTCAATACTCAAAGAAAGAAAGAAAACTCACAATATCCAATACATTTCTGGAAGTCTCCGAAATAATCTCTAAAGGGAACGAGCTGAGTCAGAACACTGGGCTATATGCCTTCTTATGCTCTAGAATCAGTCTCATGCTAGAACATGTTTGGGGTTCACAGGTTGTTTAGTTGCAGAGGTCGCAAAAAGAAAAGAGAAGGAATTTTAACTGCATGCACATTACAATGACAACACTAAGACAAACTTAGTAGCGACAGAGGAAAGACATCAATTCTCCTTTCAGTTGTGAAAAGTCTTAAAAGTTGATTGAACCTAAAACAATAAACTCCCTTACTCTAGCCCTCCGATAATCCTGTGTTCCAAATACGAAAGCTGTAGAATGATGCGATGTCCACAAGAACACACCTAGTGGGGCCTTGGGTAGTCTCGATGGAAACGAAAAGGCAGATAAGCTGCTGCAGTCAACCTCATTCAGTCTACTAATCTCCGAGATTTGAAGTGCCAAAGGTACACTTGAAAACAATCTATGATTTTGAAACAGAGAGAGGACCACCCCAAAACATACAGACTATAGCATGACAGTTTGAGAAGACTCCACAAAAACACGATGATTTGAATTTTCAGACACCGAGAGGGACACTGTAAACTCATATCCCAGCTCTACAGTACAGGTCGGGCTGACTGCCACATTTGGTTATGAATTAGCAAAGCTAACTGGATGGCATGGCTTACAAGATTGCTCAGACAGTTCAAGTCAGACAAATGACGTCTGACCCACAGGAGCCACCCTTGCATTATAAACTATGGTCAAGACCTCGAGTGCGCCGTCTTCTTTGACTCATGCTAGAACAGATACATAGCAAAGCTGGATCACTGAAAGAGAATAATTTTATCTTCTTCTTCTTTTGTTCGCTTGAAATATATTATCTGTCTGTCATCATTCTCATCCTTTGTTTGTGTGTGTGTGTGTGTGTGTGTGTGTGTGTGTGTGCGCGCGTGTGTGTTTGTGTGCGTGTTTTTTTTGACGTCACATAGGGCTCGAATTCGATTCCTCCACTCCGCTCTATTGTGCAATCTTCTCGAGTTTGTCCTCATTTCGGTGTCGGTTTTGTCCTTCTTTGCTTATTTCGTTTACGAATGTGCCTGCCCAGTAAATCTACATCTATTTGGTCTTGTTGCAGTCGATACAGATATTTTTCCAGTCATTTCTCTGATGTCCTAGCTTTTTTTTTTTTTTTTGTTAATTAATCCAGTTTTATGTTCATAGTTTTTCTCAAACATTTATTTTCAAATGCGTTTAATTTGTGTCCAATATTTTTGGTGGTTCTCTAGCTTCCGCTGGCATATGTAACAGCTGAAATAACGTTAGAACTGAATATTCGTAATTTGGTATGTAAGCTGTTAAACCTCGATATGTTGTGGGTCTAATGTGAATATTTCTGTGGCTAGTTAAAGAAGTGTGTGCAGTTTCAGGTGGCTTTTTTTTACAAGATATTGCTATGTTGTGGCTACTAGTTATTCGTGTAATCTATAAACGCTGTAATCCGGAGAGATCCGTTTATGCACCGATCTGGTCCTCAATAGCCCCACAAGTGTCGGATCACCTCCTTGCTCGCTGCCCTGGCACGACTATATTCTACGATGTCGGCAGGGGGGGGGGGGGATAAATACAGTTAGTTGCGTATCCTTTACAGGTCGTTGCAGAACCAACTCCAACAACTTTTCTAGGCAAATTTACGTCCAGTAGTTTGCCATTGCGAAAGATACATAATAACGCAAATTTGTGGCCTCGTCTTTCTGTGTGTTCGAAGGTGTGTTTACTAAGAAGGAATATGCCCGAGAATTTGACACCTGTCAAGACTGATGGTAGCAAGGCTAGGTGAAAGTAAATAGATCAATACCCTGACGGCTTAGCTATGGCAACTCATCATAAGCATGTAGCAGATCCTTTGCAGAACGTCGCTCTTATCACAGTCTGCCTGAAAGAAACTCGGTCTCGGTTCTCCCACCTCATGTACTTTCATACTCAAGGAGTCACATATATCCTGTGCCCATCTTCGTGTCGGTCGGCCCCTGTCCCTCCTTCCTGGTACCATGCCGTCTGCTATTTTTTTTTCCAATCCGTCGTAGCGCTTGATATGACCACAATATTTCAGCTTCCAAGAAAGGATGCTGTTTATTAGACAGTCTTCCTCGATGTTCATATTCTTTGAGTTGTCAATATTTCTCCTCTTCTTTGTCCAAGATATTATGAGAATCTTTCTATAGCATTTCAGCTCAAATGCCTCTATTCTCTTTCTTAATGCCTGAGAGATAGTCCACGACTCACATCCGTATGTAGCCACAGAGAAGATGCATGCTCTCAAAATTCTAATTTTGATCTCCTTGCTGGTGCTTAACCATAACAATTTTAAGGCTGTTCAATCTTTGTCCTCCTTTTAATTTCTGTCGAACAGTCTCCATTGCTGTTTATTATAGACCCTAGATATTCAAGGTGTGTTACATTTTCAATTTCTTTAAATTTATTGTTATTTTTGTGTGACAGCCAGTTTTATCTGTGGACATTATTTTCGTTTTCTTTAAATTCAAGAACAGATTTTGATCTTCACTGTGCTTTTGGACAGACAATATTAAATTTTCTATTTCTTTACGCTGTTCGAAGGGAGGACTGACTGTGTCATATATAGCGAAGTTCCGAAATAGGGTTGCCATCAATTTTGAGCGGATCATAACTGTCACAAGTCTGGTCATTTTTGACATTTCTCATTATATTTTTTGCCTATATATTGAATAGGTATGGTGAGAGAATGCACCCCTTCCTCACCCCCTTTTGTACCTCGAACCAGTCAGATGTTTCACCAGCTGCTCTGATGGCTGCCTGTTGTTCATGGTAAGATTTTCCATTAAATGCATTAAATGCGCTGGAAACCCTATACTTTTTATAATAGTCCACAGTTTGTGGTGTTGGACACAAGCAAATGCCTTGCTATAATCAATAAAACAAACATGAAGATTTACGTTTATTCTCTGCATTTTTCAAAAATTTTTCTCATGATCACATTGGACCGGGAGTGCAGAGAGTGGCCAGCGGGTGGAAGTCCAAAAGTTAATTCACGACAATTCACGCCCAGGTGATCTGATTATCTATACAGATGGTTTGGTGGTTAGAGGAAATATAAGTGCCTGGATGTTCGTAGCGATAGCCATTGGAAAATATTTGGGGCAAGACAGCCTAGCATTCGACAACACAACATCTAGCCTGAGAATTGAGGTGAAAGCGATAATTGCAGCTATCTGGTGGCTAGAAAACAAGATGCATACACATGTCGTAATTGTAACAGACTCTGAAAGCATGCTGAGAAAGGTGAAGACAGGGATGTTGCGAGCATAGTTGCAAGCTACACTGGAAAGGTCACTTGAGAAGGTGCAAAATGAAGCAACGCGCATTATTCTAGGGTGCACTGGGACACCGCATGAATAGCAATGAGGTACCTTCTTGACCTCCCTACCATGAACTACAGGATCGAGATCTGGAGGGATCGTGCATACCTCAAGATAAGCTCAGATCTGAACTACTCTTTGCACCACATGCTCTTCAAGAAAAAGGGCAATAGGCTTAAAAGGGACAAATTATGGCTGGGTAGGGCAGAGGATGACATCATGCAGGTTTGCAGCCTTACAGACATCCATCCAGGTGACGAGTGGATACCAGAGTCTAAAGCGCCCAATCTCACATTCTCCTGTGTCGTGACGCTTGGTATGAAGTGTCGGGAGTAGAAACCATCTGCTATCAATGCCGAGTTATGCGCGCTTATCAATGACAAGTCAAATGAGACAGATGTGGTGATCTTCACAGACGGGTCCGTTATACGAGCACATAAGAGTGCATGAGCATTTACAGCTCGCTCTTCTGACAGAACAGTTAAGGAAGACAGCGGTGCCTTCTCCATGACAACCAGCAGCATGATGGAGGTGAAGGCGGTGACACAGTCTTTCGTGTGGCTGGGATCACAGGACTATTCTCGTGTGTGGGTGATTCTTTGATCATGATCCGGCGGGTCAAGGCAGGCTGGTTACGCAGACAGTGGTTTGTCGTTGAAAAATTCTCCTGTGTGTGCAGTTACTTTCATATTCGTCCCAGGGCATGCAGGCGTTGTTGGTAATGAGAGAGCTGATAAACTGGCAAGTGCTGCAGTATGTGAAGATGGCCGCCCCATGTATCACACAGACATTGTCATTGCCCTCAGAGAGATAATACGTTCTGAGGATTTTGGAAGCAACGTGTATACATCACTTCTAAGAATCCGCGAATTGGGAGTAAAGATCGGCATAGTCAAGCATGAGAAGCACACTGGACGCACACGAGGTCTTGTTAATTAACATAGGACTGGTAGTATTAACCGCACGACGCTGATGAATATGTTGAGAGGGGACTCTGAGCGCCTATGGGTGTGTCCGGAGTGCTGTAAAGATAATCCAACTCATAACTAACTAACAAATTAGGAAGGTGACGGGTAGTTAGCATACTTTGAATTTTTTCTCCGGCCTATGCCCTCGTTGTGGGCAATGAACAGGCAGACATACTGGCTGAATCTGTATCACTGGGTGGTGAACTGATACATGAAAAGGCATACGTGGTCAAGTCCCTTTGGGAACAAGCAACGGAATCAGTAAAGGAAGAAGATCATTATGAACTGGAGAGAATGAGGCACCTGGGTGTAACCAGAGGGTCTGGCTGGCTCACTACACTCAGAGGAAAGGCAAGACATACATACAACCAGATTGTGACCGGTACCATCTGTATTAGAACTCTGGCTGCTGAAGATGAGGACAGAGCATGCATGAGAATGCCCCGAAGGCTGTGTTGTCAATTCTTGACAGCTCACCTCAACTGAATTCTTACTTGTTGCACAAAGAAGCAAAGTGCATGCTACAACTCTTGCTTATTAGCCCGTTAGTTATATGTTCGAATCCCTGTTCTTGAGAGAGAGTTTGTTCCACTGACCGAACTGCCACACTGACCTATCTTAAAATGGGTACCGGGATATTTCCGGAGAAAATTCTATATAATAGGAACCACGCGACGAGAGCATGCGCAGCAGGAATCTACCGATCTTCAGTAGGTGTCCCCCGTTGAACAATTGTTTTGACCCGCCTGTCTCCTTAGGCAATCTCGAAGGGCGGGCTGACCCGGGTCATGGCTCCCAGTCCTCGGACATCTGCTGCGCTTATCAGACAAGACCTTATGGTGACTGCAACAGGTACTAAGGCTGTGCTGATGTGGTCGCTGAGGTGGCAAATTAGGCACCTGCCTATATGAGCAGATTCACAATCGACGGTTGTTTTATCGGACAGAGGTTTATTGGACAGACTTTAGCAGTTGTCAGTAGCATGAGCAGACCTAAGTCGGACAACATTTGGCTTAAAGGATTTATAAGTTCTTTTCCCTTAGGGACTGTGACCAGTCTACCGACATGTTTCTGAGCACATTACAAATGAGTGTAAATATGTCTAGAAAGTAATAATAGTTTCTTGTAACGAAATGTGTAACAGGAATTGTTTTCCAACAGAAGCGGTCCGGGGATTTCATTATTTATCTTCGGTCATCAATGATGAAACAATTGTCATTTATCATCTGTACATTACAAAGTGTGTATTGACACAATACTCACATACCCGCAAGATGTCTGTCAGGATAGATAAGCAGAAGACATTGTCTAGTTTGAATGTTTCATCCATTATCACTTCCTGTAACAAAACAGAAACAGATGATACTCTCAGTGTGACACAAGTGTTATCACTGCTAGCGCTTGTTTTGGATTGTACGGGCTCAGTATCATTCCTAATGGCCGCATAATTCACTGGTGCCATTTTTTGTATTGTTATTGTCGTGGTTGTTTTTGTTGCTGTATTTTTTTTATTGGTGTTTTTCTGCGCTATCTCAGCCAGCCCAAATAAAGTAAGCAGAGTAAAGGACCCTTGTCCACGCTTTTAGGCGTATAGGGCATAGAGGGCTAGATCTATATTTTAAGACTAATCGGCACAAGATTGGTGATGTGGTCAGCATCACGCCGGCCACCTTTACTTCCCGGGACTGCACCCGGTACCCACTCAAGGCTGAGTCGACCTGGAAGCCAAGGTCGTTTTTGAAAAAAGTCCGGCTTCGCCAGGGAGCGAACCCACGACCTTTCGATCCGCGGCCAGCGTCTAGCCGCTCTGCCACGGCGACTCCCAGCCAGCCCAAAGTGTCTAATTTGTTTCTGCTAAATTGTTAACAAAGTTCTGAATTTCGTGTGTTTGTGTGTGTGTCTGTGTGTGTGTGTGTGTGTGTGTGTGTGTGTGTGTGTGTGTGTGTGTGTGTGTGTGTGAGTTTTTTTTTTTTTTTAACTAACTAAAATTGGATACTATACTAATGACTAAAATGTGTGATATCAACACACTACAATACTTCTTCTTCTCCTCCTTTTTCTTCTTCTTATTCTTCTTTCTTCTTCTTATTCTTCTTCTTCTTCTTCTTCTTCTTCTTGTTGTTCTGTCTATGTAACAGTACTATCGATAATGGACTATATTGTGGAAGTCTTGACACATGTCTGAACCACGTGTCATTTAATCTCTTGATGTAGTTCAGCCCTGGTCCGGTCCCAACCTGTCTCCTGTTATTGTATTTGTCAATACTCTTTCTTCTTGTTCCAACCAGTACATTTCTGTTGTCACGATTTTTCGTTTTTCTTTTGTTGTTAATGTTCACTTGGCACTAGTAATCCAACGCTGGTAAAAGAAATACTGTACTGAAAGGTGATTTTGTTTTTAAATTACTTCTTTTTTGTTTATCCTGCAATCGTGACGACATCGGCTCACTCGTGTGATTTGCTTGATACATTTGTGTTCTATCTCTGCTTCAATTTTTTTTTCACTGGATGATATTATGCTCCCTCTATACGTCTAGTGTTTTGCTTCCCTCAGTGGTTGGTCTTCGGTGCATATCTTGACTGGTTGGTCTCTTCTTGCAATACTCAACACTAATTTTTTTTTTTTTTTTTCAGTGTTAATTTTCACGTTTTGAGCTAACGTTGCAACGTTAAGAGCCTGTGCAATTAGATATGCATGGCTTTTGTTGTCGCCATGAACTTTACAGGTTAGGATGTTTCATTTTGCTCCCGTAATTTAATTGTTGGTCCTTACCGGGGGTCGAACCCAGGTCTCCGGCATAAGAATGAGACGTTGTAACGGCTCGGACAGTCGCACTTCATCGGAACTAAATCATTGCAGTAAACGAATCGTAATCATGTCTAAGTCAATGCAGTATACAAGTTAGAAAGTCACTGTGCGGTTTCCCCTTTTGTTTGTAATAATATTCACAGTTATAATACTGTCTATTAGGTGTTTAAATTATTGACAGATTTGTTATAACAGGTCAGACTGGCAACCTGGGGCCAGACAGTGAAGAATACTTACTGAGTGGGTATCTTGTACCAGATGTCGGGTTCGCAAACACACACACACAGACACACTCTCACGCATACAAAAGCTCACACACATACACACACACTCACACACTGACAGTGAAAGACAGACAGACTGACAGACAGACAGAAAAGAAAAGTCGTCCACAGATGACAGTGCCTGACTCGGTTCATTTTAGTTCTTTATTTGGCATTATGGCTGCAGAACGTGCAGATCTCGAGTAATCAAGAATGCCGCCAGGTGTAAAGTGCCTGTGAAATTACTTGTGGCGTGATGATTGATTGAATGTGCCACTAATTATCCTGGGGCTATTTTAAACCTCGCTAAAACATTTGAGATCCCTATGTCAACAGCGGCCCCTCGACGCTATCATGATCAAACCACAACCCACAGTTGGTCACGGATCCTAGATGGTATCAGCCATTCTAGTGGCCACAGCTCGAAGCATCTTTCAACGCAGTTTAGATGGGTTCTCTTAGACTCCAGGGACAGCCATCTCCACTAGAGAGGTTGGATGCGCTAAATATGTGAACTTAATGGTGTCTTCGGCAATGTTTCTTAGTGATGTCCACATCCCTTCCGTCGTCCTACTCTGATACATTTTCAGAAAGCCACCAGAACTATTTATTCTGATCCAGCTGCTAAGGAAACTGAAGACTGGCACGTCAAGGGTTGTGAAACGAGTTCAGTAACTTTTCACTACCCCACAGGGACCTTTAAACAGATAAACTGTGTGGTGTCAATTTTAACGGAGACCGACCAATACAATTACTTATAAACTAGACACATTTTGTAACTGGTGCCTGCACTGAATAGAAGGATTGACGTGGTGTGACAACCACTGGCACGGAGTTGAGGGGAAAAGCTAAATAAATGAGAGTTAATTAAGAAGTGAAAATAGACACAAGGACGGTATAGGACGCAATGAAAAGCTATCCTGAGGGTATAACTAGAATGCCATTTTATAAGAGCACACATGGCAAAAGAAATAAAGGAAATTCTAGGATAGGAATAAACTCACAGGGAGCAAGTAAAGCAGGGATCTACCAGTCATCAGTAGTAGTTATCCTCGTCGAGAAATGTTTCGGCCCACGATCTCCTAGACGTTTTCAGAGGTGAGCCAACCTGAGTTCATGAAGCTCAGGGGCTGGTACCCTGCTGCACGAAATTACCGGATGGTGTTTTTCTTTCGGATAGGGACAAGACGACTTAGTGATTTGCATGAGGTACTGTGAGATAAGAAATCGCCGCGGTAGCTTAATTAGAACAGTCAGCATACCTGGACGACCGAGCGACAAGCTTACGATTGGTTTACCGGACACATGTTGGACTTTTGTTAGCAGGTGGCAGAGGATCACTGGCAGACAATTCGGACACGATGGACTTTCAAAGGGTGAGAAATCCTTTTCTACTAGAAACCCGGACCAGCTCACCGAGGCCCGTCCCCTACGTTGTTTCGTTGCGTGCAAAGCCAGCTCGAGGCCCTCTCGGCTACCTCGCCCAGTTTTTTTAAGTGTTCGTTTCCGTTCATTACCGCACAATCTTAGTTCTTTAATCACATTGTACAGTGAAGTGGAGACGAGACCTCTCGCTCCCACTTCGACGGCAAAGACACGTACCATGTACGCCTCGTTTCTCCTCAGACCGGCTGCTAAATCACCGTATTTCTCGAGCTTGTACAGGTGATTTTCGTCCAAACGCGACTCATACGGGACGGTCAACTCAATGCCTTAATGAAATATATATATATGATATCGCGATTGTGTTCATTCCCGCATTGACTGCTTGTTACACCAGGCTGGTGTGGCCATTACAGATGGCTTGGTTATACCTTATGTGAGTGCATGTGCTGGGATTTGCCCAGTTGGTCTGCCATCCATCTAAACAATTTGTAATCTCAGGTTGTCAATCATTCAGAGAGAAGGCCGCAGTGGATAAACGGCACGTACGCACGCGTGATTGATTCATGGCCTATACTCCAAGTGGAACAATGAGCAGAAATGTTTGTACTTTTAACTCTTCTCACAGATGCATCTGAAGTTTTAACTCCATTTCTCAAGCAGTACATTTTTTTTTTTATAAACATTTCTAACGTAGTTAACATGACAACACAATTGGACATAGACATTTGGGATACAGTTGGCATTTAGCATCATTGTGTTGGAACCAAGTGTTCTTTAAAAAAAAATCAACTGAATTTTGTCTGCCGTGGCCATTATAAATAAAATACATTGTTACCGAAAGAATTAAATACAGAAAAGTCTAAACAAATGTATGTTTGGTGTGTCATTTCAAGTTTTCGTGTCTCGAGACATGTAGAAAGTTTTTGACTCAGACAGTTTTCAGTTCCACACATATGACCAATTTACTCAGTGACGTAATCCCATAAAAATACGAAATATGTTCCGTTTCTCTCTGTATTTTAACTTTTCTTCTTCTGCTTCTTCGCTTTCGCCGGCTGTAAACTCTGGCGGAAATTTTTGGTTGTTCATCCAGCTCTGGACTTTAGACTTGTTCCAGAACCCAGTGTTTCGTGCACATTTGTTGTACATATCTTACTTATTTGTATGTAGACTGTTGGTTCCTAGTTAGATGCACTCCGATTTCGAAGAAAACCCACAGTCAGACGACTCTAACGACATACTTTTGGTGAGGCAGTGAGTCTTGTTTCTGCCCACAATGGGGCGCCGGAACGCACTCGGGGAGATATTTCATATCTGTCAGATCATGTTATGTATGCCTACAACTAACCTGTAAAGATCCCTTAGGACAATGCTCAGTGATCAAAGCTCTCTTGTCTCCTTCAAGACAAGCACCCACGACTCGTAGTAAGTTAGGGTGGTTCATATCTCGAATCTGTCATCATAAAAAAACATTTGCAGTTACGGTTTAGGTCAGCTATTTGACGGTTCTATGATGAGGGTGATTCGTGGTAGTGACATGATGAGGGTGATTTGTGGTGGTGACATTACCTGCCTGACCTGCCTGTGAGCTAAAAGAACGATGACAACAGAGAAAGAGTTGTCTCCGCTCAAAGCGCTGCAGCCTGGGAGTTCATGATTCTTGGGCCCCAGTCCCGAAACAAAACTCCATGAGAAGAGCTCCGCAATATGTTTCAAGGGAATTAAGAGACCAAGCTTTAACCATGTATCACAACTATCTTTGAACAGTATTAGTTTATACATCTCATCACTCTGTTCTGTCCATTGAGTTGCCTCCTCCCCTGGGAAATTAAAAGGGCTGAGATCTCCCCAGAAATATTTTCTTTGTGTCGGCGCCCATATACGCTGGTGACGGTCCAGATGTCAGGTAGCTGAGTGATTCAATGAGCTGTCATCGCTAGGCGGGGCAGCGATGACGTCACTGAGTTGTGACGTAAAAAGGTTGGAACTGTGCTATCAGCATGTCGACTCTTCGTTAACTCTAAAGGTGGAGAGGGGACAGTGTGGGAACGTCCCGAGTGCACAAGTGTTATTTCTGGATTCATTTATTCATTCAATCTGTGTAATGTGTTACTTGTTTTAGATGGATACTTTGTTGGATGTTTTATCTGTACAGTCTAGATATTTTTAGATATCGTTTGTTCGTTTCTAAAGTTTTCTTTCAAAGAAAAGTGGCAACTATGGTCCAAGGATCAGGAATCGGTCGAGTACGTATACCGATCTTCGCCATCAATATTGTATTTGAAATTTAAAATGTACAAATAAATACTTACAAAGAGAACTTGTCTCTTGAAAATGTTCTGAGACAATAGGGCGGCTCAGTGCCCCCCCCCCCCAGACTCACACACACGCGCCTGTACACACGCACACACACACACACACACATGTCAAGAATTGTTAGAGGATCAGAGGCCTGAACCCCCAGGTTCTGGGGTCTATGTCAGTGAATCTACACATGTTCACAGGCTAACAGCTTTATTACTGGGAACAGTACCTTTAGTCGATAAGAATATTGATTTGTGGGCCGTAACCCTGACATGTAGACATTACTATACAGCGTGAGTTGTTATGTTTGTTTAGTTGGCAGTGATGCTTCTTCTTCTTCTTCTTCTTCTTCTTCTTCTTCTTCTTCTTCTTCTTCTTCTTCTTCTTCTTCTTCTTCTTCTTCTTCTTCTTCTTCTTCTTCTTCTTCTTCTTCTTTTACTTCTTCTTCTTCTTTTACTTCTTCTTCTTTTTCTTCTTCTTCTTCTTCTTCTTCTTCTTCTTCTTCTTCTTCTTCTTCTTCTTCTTCTTTCTCTTCTTCTTCTTCTTCTTCTTCTTCTTCTTCTTCTTCTTCTTCTTCTCCTCCTCCTCTTCCACCTTGTACTTCAGGGAAGTGTCGGGGGTAGATGTCTCTTTAGTTGCCTCCTCCCCTTGGAAATTAGAAGGGCTGAGATTCCCCCAGAAATAATGTTGTGTATGGCTCCTATAAACGCTGGTGACGGTCCAGATGTCAGGTAGCTGAGTGATTCAATGAGCTGTCATCGCTAGGCGGGGCAGCGATGACGTCACTGAGTGGTAGCAGTCTAAATGGTTGTTCTTTATGTCATCACTCCATGTTTACGAGGTCTTTCCCTAGCTCTATACCTGAGGTCTATCCCCACGATGTTCCGTTGCTTCCATCGCAAACCCGAAGCCTTTTCAGCAGCCTCGCCCAGTTGTTTCAGTGACCGCTTGCGCTCTTTGCCTCGCACGCCCAGGTGCTTTAGTACATTGTATATTGAGGTGGAGATAAGTCCTCTTGCACCTACCTTGATGGCGAAGAGTTTAACTATATACGCCTCGTCGCTTCTCATACTGGCCACCATTTCACTGTACTTTTCGAGATTGTACAAGTGATTTTCCACCATCCGCGACTCGTATGACACGCTAAGCTCCATCAGGATGAGTGGCGTTTTTCCGCAGAGTGCAACACTATATCTGTTCTCAGGCCAGTCTTTCGAATTGATTCGGGGTATTTTTCAAAACTAGGCAGGTCGACTGCCAATAACCAGTCCCTCGTACAGTCAAGTAGTGATGGAGCACATGCGACTTTGTTGACTTTGACTCTAGAGATCTGCCTAGCCTTGAGGAAGCGCACGGGAGGATCGTTAGGACTGGCCCTCGCGTTTGCCCTCATTCTGTCTTTATCCACAATGTCCGCTAGCTCTTTCAGGACTTTATTGTGGGGCCATGTATGTCGTCTCTGGCCTAGAGCTTTCCTGCAAGCGGATAATACGTGCTAGAGCGTCTGCTTAACTCTGCATAAGGGACGTGTCCGGTCAGTGGTCGCATACAATTTGACCATGTTGGCGCCAGACGGTAACACATCGTAGAAAACAAAGCACATCCGCAGCGGAGCCATTCGCCAGATCTCACCCCATTTGAGTATTATTGACAAGGCGCTCTCGAGGCCGATCCAATGGCCTTGCTGCGACTGCTGGACTGCTTTCTTGACCCGAATCTCGTTTTCATAGTCCCTGATCTGCTGTGTTACCATGTCCCGTCGTTCTTTGCCCCAGGCTTTGGACCACCAAGTGACTTTTCCTTGCCCTAAGCCGCGTCTGTCGGTTTGTGTCTAACTCATGACTTTCCGCAAAACGAAGAATGTAATATAATACAAAAATACTCACCTCTTCAAATTCCTTCAGCAGGCGGGCGTTAACTGGGAAGTCTGACTGGCATAGAGGATGTTGCCTGACTAGGAAGCCCTGATGGTGTGTGATACAAACAATGTTGGCTGATTTATGGAACAAGCTTGGGGCACAATTATAAACAGAAACTTTAACTGAAATATTTCAACTTACTCCTATACTTTACCTTCGCCTCCCTTTTACTTTTACGTGTGTGTGTCCTCCAACTGTCTCCTAATTACCACATTTTTTATTGTTAAGAAGTAAAGAACCCTTTCACATACCAAGAGAATACAGTGAGCATTGTGCTAGACTTGGATTTTCACAGATAACCGACATTCGATGGGTGATGGAGTCCATATCGTTGGTCTTTACTTCCTAAGACGTTTTCTTGTACGTTATTTTAGATTAGATTGGCCTAGACAAATATCTTCTTCTTCTTCTTCTTCTTCTTCTTCTTCTTCTTCTTCTTCTTCTTCTTCTTCTTCTTCTTCTTCTTCTTCTTCTTCTTCTTCTTCTTCTTCTTCTTCTTCTTCTTCTTCTTCGTCGTCGTCTTCTATTTCTTCTTGTTCTTGTTCTTGTTCTTGTTCTTCTTCTTCTTCTTCTTCTTCTTCTTCTTCTTCTTCTTCTTCTTCTACTCTTCTTCTTCTTCTTCTTCTTCTTCTTCTTCTTCTTCTTCTTCTTCTTCTTCTTCTTCTTCTTCTTCTTCTTCTTCTTCTTCTTCTTCTTCTGCATTCCGAGCACCTTGAGGTTCATTGCTGCAGATATCACCCGCATCCATTCCTCTCTTTGGTTGCCCTTTTTTTCCCGTTATTAACATCAACAAGTGTTTGTAGGTCTGTTTGGACATTATCTCTCCATTGTCTTCTTGGTCTGCCTTGTGGTCTACAACCATTCATCTCCCTTTTGTATACAGTTTTTACCTCTCTATAATCTGGTATTCACTCAATATGCTCCAACCATTTCAGTCTATTAGCTCTTGATGCCAGTGATCAATGGTGATTTAAACAGATTAGGATTTTCGTTGTAACTTCTCACTCTTCATTCCCTTCTGTTTGCATCTTTGATAGATCTAAAGATTCGTCGTAAGACTCTTGTTTTCGAAAATGTGTAAAAAGGCTTCATCTCTTTTAGCTTTGCTCCAAGTTTCAGTGCCATATAAAACGACTGGTCTTATCAAGGTTTTATATATTTTGATCTCGGTGTTGTAGACCAAGAAGACGATGGGAAGATAATGACCAGACAGACCTGAACACACTTGGTGTCACCAGCTGGAAAGAGCAGGCGAATAAGAGAGATGAGTGGAGGTGGTGATATCTGCAGCAATGAACCTCAAGGGCTCTGAATGCTGAAGAAGAAGATCCGGGATTTCCGAGATAGCGATTTGAACTTAGGAAATGTTGAAGTGCATATTATTCTCTATTTTCAGATTGTATTCTAGACTGTATTTCTTCTCTCAGCATATTGGAGCAGTTGAGGTTTGCACCTAAGTACATCGTTCGTTTGACTTTTATACTATCGACTTGTATGTGGCCGGAGTTTATATCTTGTCCCTGTCTTGTTATTATTATGTATTTTGCCTTATCTTTATTGATAATTAGTCCTATTTTGTGAGCTGCTTCTTTTAAGAGAGTCAGTGTTTTCACTGTCCTCAGTTCATTTGTCCAACAATATCAATGTCATCTGCATAACCAAGCATTATTGTAGTTTCTCCTGTAGTACAATGTTCTTTCAATTTCCTTATAACTGGACAAATATGATTTTTTTTTTAACTGTCATAGGGGGATACAGGTGGGACAACAGGTTTTCCCCAGTAAGTGTCTGGGAGGATGATTTACAAGAGTTATTAGATGTGACCTAACACCAAGATTATATCTCAGACCTAACACCGAGATTATATCTCAGACCTAACACCGAGATTATATCTCAGACCTAACACCGAGATTATATCTCAGACCTAACACCGAGATTATATCTCAGACCTAACACCGAGATTATATCTCAGACCTAACACTTAGATTATATCTCAAACCTAACACCGAGATTATATCTCAGACCTAACACGGAGATTATATCTCAGACCTAACACCGAGATTATATCTCAGACCTAACACCGAGATTATATCTCAGACCTAACACCGAGATTATATCTCAGACCTAACACCGAGATTATATCTCAGACCTAACACCGAGATTATATCTCAGACCTAACACCGAGATTAAATCTCAGACCTAACACCGAGATTATATCTCAGACCTAACGCCAAGATTATATCTCAGACCTAACACCGAGATTATATCTCAGACCTAACACCAAGATTTAATCACACGCTATCCAACAGCTGAACACCAAAATTAAATATGCCACTCACAGTCAACTGTTCTTGGGAGATCTGTTTAATGACCATCATGCCTACATCTAATCTAAGATGAAGTGTGTCTGTGTGATTGTTTCCGTGTATGTGTAATTTGTGTGTGTGTGTAATTTGTGTGTGAGAAAGACTATTTTTAACTTATCGGACAATAGTAGGTTTCATGAACAATGCGTATTTGTGATAATACAAATATATTGGGGGGGGGGGGGGGGTCATTGGACATTGTTGTGTGCTAACATTCGGTACACAGCAATCAGCAAACGGCCTAGTACTCAAGGTACAGTTCAGGCTTCCCAAAAACAACTCACAGGACAGCTCAACGACGTAATGTTCACCATATAAGTGCATTTATTGTTAGGATCACAGAGGGTATTCACAAGCCCTCACACACACAATAACGCAAGTGAAGTAATGCAGACATCTGTCCTGGCTAACATGCAACGAAAAGCCCTCCCTTCGCTCACTCCTTAGGTATAGCGTCACTCTCCCGGACAGCTTGTACTTGCCGCCACTACACGCGAGCCGACCTCTACAGTCCTAGGTCTACAGCGTCCCTCACCTCCGGGCTCGCTGTACAGATGAACAGGATATCTCTCCTAATCAACTTGACCTCTGCTGTTCGATATGGAGCAGACACATCGGCTGACTGGAAACGCCACAATACTCGATCTCCAGCATGCGCACACAGCACACTAGCCTCGTCAAAGGAACTCCGATGACCGGCAGGACTCCTGGCTCCGAGTACCCTTTAGCACTCATCTATCGCCGGCATCTCTGCTGTCTTGTTGTACTAGTGGTCCTCCCGCTTACATGCGTCGTCACACAAAACATCGTCTCTTGAGTAATCAAGTCACTTGGCCTGTCTTGCCAACTGGACTCCCCTTCTTTCGACTGGACTCTAGAATAGTCTCACATGACTGCTTTCCCTCGAATGTTCTCGATTTAACGGTTCAAGTTCTCAAATGCCACTGCTCAACAGTCCACTCAACCCCAGTATATACCCTTGCCTGCCACTTGTGAGCGGCCCGTGCACACGAGACGCACCCTGTCACGCACCATACTTTTTCCTAGCGACAGCGGCTATCTCGCCCAACTCATGATAGTTAGCCCACACAGGTTAATACTTTGTGAATCCACTGGGCTAAGTCAATTCCCACTTGCCACAATACTGACTAAACCGATAGATATTTTCTGGTTTAAGTCAACACTGTGCCAAATATTGACTCAGGTCACTGGACATTCCCGTGGACTCCAGAAAACACTATTCATACCACAATAAATAAATAAAATAATTCCAAAAGTGAAGATACAAAAACGCTAACAATATTACAGAATGTTACCTTATACATGCATACACAGCAGTTGGATAAGCTGATTTCTGTCGCGTTTGTGTTGCTCTGTGATAATAAATTAAATGGGATTGAAGGAGAGAAAAGAAAAGACACATAAATTCAGAAAGAAAACATAAACATCAGAAAGGGGGAGGGGAGAGGGTCCGTAAATTAACCTTGACAATGCCTGTCGACTGCCCTAGAAATGCGGCCTTATATCATCCTCCTCTAGAACCTACAGTCCTGTACCACCAAGTGTTAAATACAAGCGGTGGAGCAAGTGGGATGTAAGAAATGCCAAGAATGTAACCGTAACATATCACAAGTGACCAGATGGTCAACTGAGGCTGCTTGTGGTGGGACTGGCTATGGTCTCCAGTAGAAGGACTGAGCAAGGTGGTGGAGAATCACTCCATGAGTCAATTGGAAATTACCTCTTCACGTCAATGGCGCATCGGGCATAGAATGCTAGAATATTTTTCTATAAATAAATCTGCCTTGGTGGATAATGGGGTCAAATCCCTCTGACCGCCTTTACGTCCCATACTTCCTCGTAACCCTTTTAGCTTGTTCACCTTAGAACCAAATATTTTTTCACCCGTCTAGTGAGGATTTGAACCCAAGACTTTAGGGTCGAGAGGCAAGCGTCTAGTCAGTGCGCATCCAAAAATGATGTGGTAGTAAGTGAAGGCAGTTTATTCAAGCCCTGCTTAACGATTAAAGTGGTGGTCAGTAATTTGAGAGCAAATAAACACTCGATAGGTAATGCGGTTGCCCTCACGTCTTCATTTCTCGGGCACATTCTTTCCCTCAGAATGTAGTCTAGCACCACTGGGCGTAGGAACTTTGCTACCAAAGCTCTCATAATTAGACAAGGGAAGCAGTAGAAATTAAGACAAGCTGTAGCAGCTGCTGTATGGCCAAACCATCAGTGTTGTCATCCATTACAGTTGTCACTAATTGTAATCTTTCTTCTGTTGGTCATTGTTCTTTGAGGTTAAACAAAAGTGCAGAAAATTGACGATATAACAAAGGAAGTAAAATAGAATTAGTTACACAGTAACAAGTCAATGCGTAAATAAACTAGTATAACAGAATGCAAGCCACGTTCAAATAGATGTTATAATCGCTACCTGTCTGAGAATAGAAGAGAATGTTGACTTTGTCATGTTCTTCTTTATGGGTTGTAGCTCGTCGATTTCAATCTTCCACCAAGTTAACTGTGTTCTTCGCTTTGTTATCTTCATCCTGTTTGGAAATGTGCGTTGTCATTTGCATTTGTAAAGTACAAACTTTCACGATACAAATATTCTTGTTTCCAGACAATTCTATAGTTTAAACGTACTTAATCTTATATGACAGTGCATGTAAAATTTTCATTAAATGAGGTGATTTTACATCTTCTGCAGCAAAAGTTTAAAAACATTGCTTGTAACATTCGCATTTCAGGAGAGTCTCTAACTATTTTTGGGTAGTATTAAATACGACATCTCATGCGACCTCTAAAAATCTTTTATTATTAGCTTTTTTTTTTTTTTTTATTGTTTGTAACTGCTTTATCTCTATGGTCACACCTGTACTAGATGTAAATAAAATGTGTCTGATACATTATATAAAATAGTCAGTAGCATGCTTATTGTGCGGTTTGTGTGTGTGTCTGTTTGTGTGTTAAATGATAACATTCGTATTCCCCTAGAAATTGTCTAACTCATAAGGTATCTATGACTGGTGTAACAGTCACCTTGCTTTAACAGTTCTGCAACAGATGTACACTCGTTGTTTTCTAGGTTAAATAACAGAATTAAAGTTGTCCAATGTTACCGACGCCCAGCTACTAGGTGTACTGCTTAAGGCAACACTGTAAGCTATGGGTTTTTCGGGTTGAATAGAATTGTATATATATATATAGCCACTGACGCCGACGTGTGTATTGTTGTGCACGTAAGAAACTATGTTTATGTAATCAGTTGCCTGGAAGTCATCACATATACAGCTGTGTCATGCAGATTTTCGAATACTTCTCAAATATTCTTATAGAATGAAATATCTGAAAGTAACATATCAACACTCTTGTGGTTTTAATCTGGCACGTAGATCGGTAACTGGCTGCTAAGTGCGCTATATGAGTTTCCAACAAGCAGCATTATTATAGAAAAACTGATTATTGACCCACCAATGCAAAACAGTCATGCTAACATCGCCCGTTAAGATGCAACATCCGTCTTTGGGGCATAATTGCTTGAAATAGTATCAGTAATTACCTTAATGCAAATGAGACAGCAACTGCAGCAGCGATAACAACGATGGAGATACTGGTGGAGAGTCCGATGGCCAGGTTCGAGGTATCTGGGCCTAGAAATGACAAATGTAGAACTAAAAATAATTGTTCTGCCATCTGTGTACAGTTACGAGTGTATGCAACCTCTACATATAGGCTATATTTGTTATGTTATTTTGATCACTTGGCCGTATTTTTTTTTTAAAGAAGGTATGCTAGCTAAAGCAGCTGGTGGTAATAGTGCCTCGGAATTCGAACATAATCCGTTCCCATAGGGTAATTCCACATCGTTCAAGTTCCAAGGCAATTTCTTCCACTGAAAAAAAAATTGAAAATAAATTTATCTCTGTCAGGCTCGAAATGTATTTTGTTCTAAATGCAGTGCACCATAACTAAAGTAACACAGTGATGATCACATGTGATTACAAACATTTAAAATGTATTTATATGAAAACAGCGCAGAAACGAAATACAAATCCCCACTAATATTCATCTTATAGTATTGCACCGAGCATTCAGTTCAGTGGCATAGACGATTAAAAACAAAGGACTTAAGGCTTTAACGGACGTCTGTCTATCCCCTATACTGGAGCAGGAAAACCAGGCGGAATGGTCGCCACACTCAACAAGACTGAAAACAACCAGGCTAATCCACGATATGAGAAAAACAGAAAGAAAGAATTACAACTGTCACATGAGATGGTGGTGATTGCTTCCATGTTTCCAAACGTCCGATGTAGGGGGGGGGGGCGTTGTCAAACGTATCAAGCTGTAGTCTACCGACCATAAAATACACGCGGTGACCACGGAAGGCAATGAAATACTAGACAGAATGATAACAGACAGTTGGATGCAGATACCTGAGCAGTGCATACCACCTGTATTGCAGTGTTCCGAGTGTCAGAAGGCCTGGCATTCCAGATCAACCTGCCTCTGCCAACAGGATATTTGTAGGTACTGTAGACATCATCACCCTTTTAGAGAATGTCCACTAGCCCAGAAGGATGAGGACTCCCAAAAGCTTAATTTAAATAGTAAATGTGCCAATTGCTCTGACCCGCATTGGGTCAGATATCTAGGCTGCCCATACCTACATAAGTATAGGGAGACGATGACAACAGCCATCAAGGAAAACTAATCCTATAGATAAGCGCAAAAGGGGCACGAGGTATCAAAAAGCAGTCCATCCCTGTGTGCAGCACAATTTCAAGGCCATATTACCAACCTGGAAAGTGAGGGGAAAAAACACAGATAAATAAGGGGATGGAGAAGATAAAAGAAATCCTGAAGACCTGAATTCAAAGTAAAATCTCAAAAGAGGTATCTTCAATGGAAGATTTTAAATAAGAAATAGTAGCTCTACTTAATGACATAAAGATCCAACGAGACCAACGAAGAATATACAACAATGTGGATACGGAACTTCCTAAACAGGACCCACAAAATAAATAACCCAAGAAACTCAAACTCAAAAGCCAAAGCCAAGACCAGGTGAGAGAGGCTGAGTACCTGTACTAAAAAAAACATGAAAGGGCTGATTAAATTATCCAAACAGATTTCAGATAAACGGCATGAGGAGCAACAACGTATAGCAGCGTACATATTGTATCAAGCAGTGATTATCGAACGTAAGTATAAAAGATTACATCTGGTCCAGAAGAACACATTCTAAGCAAGCAACAGGATGCGGTCTATAATATTTCGTATGGCGATATGGACAAAGACGACTTACCGACAACGTTGACTAAGCCTGGTCAAGATCGCGACAACAACTGATGTCCTAATTGTAGAACAACAGCGATAACAGCTACTAAAACAACACAAAGAACAGATACAGCAATATCAACATGAACAGCTCAGACGACAGCCCGATCAATGGCAGTGACACTATCAACGGATGGCACAATTAGGAACACATGACCTAATCAGATCCAAACCTGCAGAATGAGACGGACACGACCTGGTCGGGCAGACAGACATGGAAGACATAATATACTATCACCAGTCACTACGCAATGAAATAGCATCACAATTTGTAGCCATAATTATATGGTATTGTGACTAGAAGGAGGCTAGCTCCCTAGTCAGAAGTTGAACCTGGCTAACGGAAATCGAACGAACGAACTGACCATTACTGTTCAGGCAACACTGATGGCATGAATACTTTCTGCTCTGTTTCGTGCTGCTCTTATTGTGCTTTCTTTTAAATTATTATTCAGGGCTTCTGCTGTACATTTCCTACCATTCATCTATAAAGGTTGTATTAAGTCATTGAGTTAGTTCTGTAACTTCTCGTTCGTTCCAGCGATGTTGTTATTATTATTTTTAGTCATTCTCAAGTTTACCTTATTCACGGACGATTGCCACAAGTATAACTAATGAAAGGGATGTCATCACACACACACACACACACACACACACACACACACACACACACACACGCACACACACACAATATGTTTTAGAAGAGCTTACCCAATAACAAGAAAAGACAAAAGTGTACTATAGAAAATTATAGAATACTAGCTGCAATTAGTTACACAATTCATTAAAAACAACAACAACAGACTGACCATACGATAAGGATGCCCCGGTACCAAATATCACAGACAACTTCATCAAATAAAATTATTGAGTTTAGTGGAAGGGAAAGATCAAGCAGACTGGAATGCCGACATCAAGAACAACCGTAACCTGTTTATGTTTGTGTATATGTATGTGTGTGCGTGCGTGCGTGTATGAGGTGGGGAGAGTGGGGGTGGGAAGGATGTGTGTGTAAATACAAAGAATAAATCATGAATATGTATGACCTTCAAAGAAGTATCGAGCAAAGACGTGTTCTTACCTTGAAGGGATGCATATGCCTCACACAGCTGATCGTGAATGCTGCAGTCAGGGATGTCCTCTGGAGGTTGCCCACTTCCTGGCCAGCTAATCATAATATCGTCTACCAGAGCCAGTTGATCGCTTTCAGCCTTATAGATGCCGACCCGCTGGCAACAAACATTATATAACTATGATTATCGTCACTTGGTTTATCATAATGTCATCAGTGGTCTGGGTTCTCATCCTTTTTTCTAACCAAAGGAAGGGTTATACGAAGGATGTTGACGTTTGGCGCAGAAACAAGAGAGTAGGTTTATAACTAAGTCCCCAAGTTCAGTACCCAGAATGTTTGCTGACCGTGTGTTTTAGTCGATTTCGAGGTTGCTTCAGCCTGAGATTTTTAATAACATTTTTAAAGAAGCAAATGCCAGTTAATTTACAAACATAGGCTAGCATCATATATCCTTGACAACGCATAGCTTGACAAACCGCTGTTTGCTTAATATTCACTTATTTTCATGAAAGAGTGATATCGTAGCCTACAGCTAGCACTATTTAAAAGTATGTTTTCTTTTATGTCCATGTTATTATTAGAACTTGTTTACAGTTAGTTCCAGATTTCCTGGTTTCGTTACTTTTATTGAATGATCGGATCATACAGAAGTTCTAACCTTAACACTTTAAGAAAACATATTTGTACGGATGGGGTGATATTTATGTTTCTCATGGGGATGTTGTACATGCTTGTAAAAGAATGATTAATTCGCCAATATTTTCTTCAACACTTTATACTATTTCCAGTGTAGTGGAATGTCATCTCTTTGTTTTACCCGTTTCTATTCAAAGGAACACACCATATGTTCACGGGTAACTTCAGTCACATACATTTTCTATTTCTGTTTGCCCTATAAAAGTTTAACTTTTCAGCATTCATTGTTTTTTTTTTTTTTTTTAGATTAATGAGAGTTGATACAACAACTGCCTAGGGCAGACATAGGATCACCAATAATGCCCAAGACAAAAATAGCTAGTTGGTGCAATGTCTATCTATGTATGTAAGTTGCACCTAACCAGGACATCAAACAAGCGATAAACACTCGGTGACACAAAGTGTCACCATGCGGATGAGGATCACTCGTGGAGAGGTCCCGGAAACCCCGTTCAGCCGTTAGACCATATTTCAGGCCCGGCTATTTTTAGGGCCCCCGGCAAAAGACAGGGTGGAGCTTCAAAATAACTAAAAATTGCATCCAACAAGTGAATGACGAGATGAACATTAATCTTGTGCATTGTCTAGAAAAGACTGTGTTGATATTTCAACCGTCTCGGACAGAAGTATTAGACTGATCTAGAAAAGACTGGGTTGATATTTCAAGCGTCTCGGGTATTAGACTGACCTTCACACTGAGATTCAGACATTACCTGGTAATATATATATTATTCTACATGTGTAGGCTTAAATACAGACTTCAGTATGCAATTTGATACATGGTATAAATGCAGCCGAATATGAATTTCTCGATAAGATGTAACATTGAGAGGAACTCTGGATTTGTGGTGGCTTACCTGAAAGGTTCCGTTCCAGGGATCAGTCATATCCACAAGAGCCATGTCTGAATCTCTGTGGCCATCAGTGCTGATGTGATAGGGGCCTGCAATTCCTGCATTTAAAATATTGAAAAGATAAAATCGAATATTATTGGTGAAATATTGAAAAAGACAGGGTGCTTTGTACAGTTATAACTACATTATTCTTTGCTAAAGAAACAGAAAAGAGACACACACACAGAGACACCGAAAGAAGTGCTACCTAACGTCAGCTCGTGCATGTGAGCAAAGATTGCTTACCGAAAAACGTCCTGTTGCTCATTCTTTTGACAATCTCTTTACCGTCTCTAATGGTGCCTCCTTCGTTGACTGTCTCGTTGACAACTGTGAGGTACATCATGATGGCGTTGTAGTAGCCTGCCAGAATGGCGTGCTGCATGTCAGTGGTGTTTTCTCTAATCTCGTCTTCCTGGTCAGTGTGTACAGTCAAGCAGACAATTAGGATCGACAACATTTCTTGTTATTAAGACATATATCATGGGGTGGGAAAGGGGGAGTGGGTGGGGGGAGGGGGCAGTGCTACATGATTGTATTTATCACCAGTTGCTCTGACGGTCACTGAGCAAGTAACGGACAAAAGTATAAATCACTACGATGGACATACGATACGTTCTGGAACAAGACAGCATCTATTTGTCTACATCGTTTTGCCTGATGTCTGTGTTACTGTGCAGAATCATCTCTGACGAGTGTCCAAAAATCAGCCAGCGTGGGAGTGGCCCAGTTTCTCCATTGTAGCAATGCCCTGGTGAAATTGCTTGCTATGCTCATGGCTAACTAAGTAAAGTTCCCTTTTCACGCCTTTCGGCGCATCGGCATATGGGCAGAGCGTCCCATATTTTTACAGACCATCAGCACTCTGTGGGTAATGTGGTCAGCATTACGCTAACTACGCCACAGTTATTGAGGGAATTGGAAAAGTGGATCTTTAAAGGCACACTGCATCTAAGAATGGGAAACTGATACAACATGTCGTCAACCAGTTCTTTATAGTTTTCAGCTCTAATATTCCAAGAAATTTAGTTGTCACTAGATGAAACCTATCTAAAGCATTTTTATTGTTTTCTCTCAATCGACTGTGAAACATCTCGTCTCAGGAAAGTTCGTAAATCTCATACTATTTTCAGCTTTAATTTTTGATTCGCTAAGTAATTGACGCCGACTTTAAAAACCATACTGGAATGAAAAGTCGAAGGTAAGAAGGCGATACAAGTGATAGAAGAACAACAAGAGATGGCTAAACAGCAGTCTGAGAGAGTGTGCTACCAAGACAGGAGACAGAGAGTGTTGGAGATCCATTGCAGCCAACTTTCATTGTGGAGATGGACCTGATTGTTTGACTGGTTTGTAATTTAGTATTGGTTTTTGCTTGTCTTATTTCTCTTTCCGATTGTATCTATTCCAATCACTTTCACAGCATTTCTCCGACATCCCAGTTCCAGAGTTACTATTTTTCGTATCTAATTTGTTGTAAGCTGTCATAAATGGCACTCCTAGCCTAGGATGGGGATGTATATGTTTTGTATGAGACCTTCATTTGTAGTGGTCAGGGCTGGTCTTCTGTTTTATGAAGGACTAATCCCAGTACTCCAGTACTGTGACTTGTTTGTTTCAACTACAAACTATTTACTATCTTTTGTGCAATTTCCACAAAGCTATGAAACGATCATATACGATATATTTAACATCTTTCGGCCGTTACCGTGTTTTTTTCCTATAATTTGTATTATTACTTTATTCTGCCGATCCTCGTGCTAGTTTAACATTCTTGATTAATGGAAACAAGACTTTAACATTGTTCAGCTTTATGGAACTGTATCAAGATCTAGGTATCTGGAAAGAGTAGTCTACTTTTACAACTCGTATGTTTGCCCTTACTTCACATCTCAGCTTATAATGCTGAACTAGATGATGGACAAAAGTGCACGAAACAAATTACAGTCTAAATGAATCGTTAACGGCAGACAGAGATTACCTCGTCCCTGGCTGCTGGCTCCACATACTGGGAGATGTTGTTGCCAAACATTTTCTCGTTCAGACGCTGGACCAGCATAGCATAGTCAGACACGGGTGGCGTCATCACGCTTATGAACAACACAGATCGAAATGCTTGCCTGGCTTTCTGAAAGTTTACAGAATGGTAAAGTGATAGGCTCGAGAACGACAAAGACTGCTGTTCAGCAGCTTGACGATTTTAGTTTGTTCGGCGGATACTCTGGTTTACAAACACGAACAAGTCTGGCCTCTGTGTATAAAAATACCAGCTCACACGCTATTTGGGACCTTTTGACTTCCAGACGCACCCTGTAAAGACCTATCCAGCTGTTCTGGCCCTGCACATTGGGCTAGCCAGCATGGGTATGGAGCAACTGCAGGGGAAGGCCGGTTGTCTGACTGATTTTCCTGGCTGGTCTCACAGTGCGTTTCATTTGGTTAGATGGTATTAGATTTGATTTCCATTGTATATCTTCGCTAGGAGATAGTTTGATGGCAGGTCGCTATAAGTGATTTGCTGGGATATTGAAGCTTAACGTACATGTTAAAAATGTTTCAGCTTTTGCCGTGGCTGAGGTCATCTCGCTGAGCGTATGGTGTCATTATCATATTTCCTTGTTAGCTGGAGATAATGAGCACTTAAGATTCTGCCTCTGGTCTAACACATTGGTTGTTATTAATGTACTATTTGTGAAGTATACGTTAATTCTGTGTTCAGTTGAGTAAAATAAACAGCTGTTTAATGTGGTGATTATAATTCATTTGCTTGATTTGACTGACTGACTTTCTACCCCACCAGGACATCACACAAGCGATAAACACCCGATGACACAAAGTGCCACCATGCGGATGAGGATCACCGTGGAGAGGTCCCAGAAACCGCGTTCAGACAATTGGCCATATTGATGGCCTGCCTTTATTGCGGCCCCTGGCAAAAGCCAGAGTGGGGCTTCAAATAACAAAAAATTCCGTCCTAAGAAGTACGTAAGGAATATATGATATGTATTTGCTTGATTTAATTTAGGATCTGTAGTCTGTGCACGTGGTTCGTCTTGGTGTGTGTAGCCATGTATTTAGGTTGTTGTCATGTAACTCACGAAACAGATATTCTTTGTCTGGGTTTTAGTGAAATATTCTAGGATCTCAGCGCAGAAAAAACACTGTCTCTTCTTTACTTTCCTTTTTTTTTTTTTTTTTGCTGTTTAGCGGGGAACTATTACTTGTGTTCTGATCACAATTTTCCTTTATCTCCCTTACTTCTGTGTTTTTCCTTTTTTGTGTTTCCGCTAGCACAGTAGGTTTAACTAGAAGTGAAATGTGAAATGTATTGTCTCCCAGAAAATAGTAATGTACTTCGCATTAATTCGTCCAAAACATTGTTTTCAAGTAAAAACAAGGGCGTTAAACTGATCCCAGTTGTGTCTGTCATTAGAACTTGTCAAGAAATAAATGGTTCCCACAAATACACTCAGTCACCGCCAGAACGATTTGGGGGAGGGGGTTGTGGGGGAAGATGGGGAGCGGGGTAACAGTGTTGTATATATGTACTCAACACTGCAGAATTAATAGGCAAACAAATGATGATTAATTTGCGAATAATCCTGAACACAGAATAGTCAAGGAACAATTTATCACCAGTGAGTATTTATATCAGAAAGATATGACCCGACACCGAATCATTAGTATTTATTGACATGGCAGTAAGTCAGTGTTTCCCAAACTTTTCTTAGTCGCGCGCCTTTTTTTTTTTTTTTAAATACAATTTTGCAAGGGTGCCCTAACCAGGGTAAAAGTATGACTATTCGTGTGTAAGAGATTTTTTTAAAAAAAAACTTGTGTATCTTCGAATATTTCGTAACGCCCATGTGAAGAGGTTGCGGCTCCCCGGGGTGCAGCGGCACACAGTTTGGGAATCACTGCAGTAAGTTATAAAATAAAAATGCATAACTGACATCAAGAAACAAACTTTTAAATAAATATATCCCTGCAAGTCAAGAAAAATGTCCATATCACAAATTAGAATGTTTTACTTTCAAATGTTTTTTAGCATAAATTTATATTTGTTAGTACAGTGGAACCTCGCTTAACGAGCATAATTCGTTCCAGAATCATACTCGTTAAGCGAAACACTCGTTATGCGAAACAATTTTTCTCATACAAATTAATGTAAAATACTAAAATGCGTTCCATGTCGAAAAGGATACTCACAAAATGCAATGTTTAACGTTTTTTCAAAGAAAATTATGTACATATTGTTAAGGCGAGTGGATCATCTTCATCATTTCTTCAAACGCGTAACGAACCCACATGGAATGCGAATTCGATTTGAGGAAAAAAAAGTCCAAATAATTATGATACATAGCTAATTATTATTATTATTTTTTTTTTTTTTTTTTAACTAGAAAGATGTCCGAAGATTTGTTTTTGCCGACGGTTCAGCGTTTGGCGAAAATGCGACACAGCATTATCATTAAATAAATTTGCAACGCGCATAGTTACTTTCTTATTAGGGCGATGCTTCTCAATGTAAGATGCTACAGTTTGCCATGCTGTCAGCATTTTTCTTATTTCGCCAGAAAATTGTTGCTTTTCTGTTACCCCCTCCTCCTCTGACAAACTTTCCTCCAAAACGCAGCTCTAGGCTGTGCTCTTCCACAAGCTCTTTGATACCACTGTTATCCACCTACAATCCCATGATAGTGGCCAAAGACACAATCTCGTTGACTACAGGTTTCACAGGTACTGTCTCGAACCCCTCAAAGTCACAAATAGACAACGCTCCCCGGCCAAAGTTTCTTCCAAGCAGAAGTTAGAGTTCTCTTGGTAACCCCTTCTCCCGCCATGTCGATCATCTTGAGACAAGCAACTATGTGGGAGTGATTTTTTCTCCAAAACTCTTTGAGAGCGAGGTTGGTCCCCTCAGTCACCTGAAAACAATGCTCGAAGAGTGTAGAGCTTCTTAAAGTTAGAAATAACTTGCTGGTCCATGGGCTGGAGTAACGGAGTGGTGTTGGGAGCCGGAAACTGGATGTTGATGAACTTAAATTCTTCAGAGAGGTCATCTTGTAGGCCTGGAGGATTCATGTACATATATCACAATATAACACAAGTTTGAGAAAATGTGTGATCACAAGTGACACTACGATGCTACTGGAACCAGTGTTAAACACAGACTGATGTAACATGTGCACAATTCTGGACTTTCCCTCTCCTCGCCACTCGTTATGCGAAACGTCGCTCGTTAAGCAAGTCATTTTTTTTACAATTTGCTTTGCTCGTTATGCGAATTACTCGTTGTGCGAGGTGCTCGTTAAGCGAGGTTCTACTGTATTTTCTTAGTTTGCAAGAGCGTGCATTCCAGACTTCCAGAATTGTGAC